TATGATCGTTAAACGCTCGTCCCTCAGGCAACAACCTCTGAGTGACGCCCCGCTGCATGCTACTTATATGCCACCTGGCAAGTAGCATCCATCACGCTAGTTCAGTTTAAGGCTAACTATATTTTACTTTTAAAACACGCATATGGAACACTAGCGAGTTTTGAAAATTTCATCTAAAATAAATGGGAAATTTTATGGAAGTAGATAGTTAGTTGAATTGATTCAAAACCACTTAATTTTAAACATGTAATTCATGATTAATTCAATAACTATAAGGACGATACTTCACGAAAATAATCCCGCAAAAGTCAAGTTTATTGGAATCGAGAAGAAGGCTGTTAGACAGTCAGCTGATTACCTTTAACGTTTCTTCATTATATCATTCATTTTTCTGTCGCTTGGAATAGGAAGATATTCAAACAGCTGAATGATGATAAATACTGTATCCATATTATTTTACGAAACTGATAAAGAAAGTACTTTCCAGCTCTCGGTGGTTATTTTCAAAACTACTGTTTACAAAAAATTAATTTTTGTTCCAAGCTAAGGATGTAGCACATGTAACATTCTAACTGAAAGCACATTGAACATTATGACTAGCTGCTTAATCAGACACTATTGTGGTCTTTTCAAACTTCTAGTACTGATTTAAATTAAGTAGTATCTTTCTCAGAATGAATTTTCTTTCTGTTTACTGTATCCCATTTTCATCAGTCTTCACTTTGAAATGAACTAAAAACATGAATTGTGAAAAGTTCACAATGAATAATAAAAACTTAGAATTACACATGGTTCACTAAAATACAAATAATCAAGTGATATAACTAATGAGTTCTAGAATCAGTTTTTACAAGAGATTGATTACACTGTGAAGAAAGTTCTATCAATGAAAGCTGAAAAAAATTCCTGAAATACCCGAACATCCTTGCTTGAATTAAGGTATTGTTATGTATTTTATTCACTACCGAAATTAAAAGGAGGTTATGCGTTTCTAAACAGATCCTATGTGCAACGTAAGTTTCCATCACTTATACTATCAACTCAGACTGTATACATCAGGTTATGTTATGTGTGGATTAATTTCTTATTTTTGCTAAGGTTTTTCGACTGTTTTTAAGATCAATCGCTACCCAATTGTAAATATTTCTTTTACAGTTACTGTAAATCTCTTATTTACCATAAAATAAAGAGTGGCCATAGTTATCAAATGTAATAAGAAATACCGTTTAACTCCATGCTAAGCGATACATTTTGTTTCTAAACTAAAGTTAAGAAACCCTCGTTTGAAGAGTTATAAAATTGTTATAAATCAGTTTCTTATTTTCTAGTTAGAACTTCTTCTCAAATATAAGACTTTCGTGTGTTAGCAATAGATTTATTCCTCTGATGATGGTTATGTATTTTTGTCATGTACCCGACAGTTCACCTAAATAACTATTTAGATATAAAAGCAACTTGATTTTAGTATAGTTTACCAATAAACTCAGATGTACATATAGCTTCTTGTCGGTTCTGACGGTTCAAAGGACTCTCAGTATTTACAAGTCCGACCCTTAGTTGATTAGTTGGTATTGCATAGCATATCTAAGATTGCATCTTAGATATGCTGTCTCTCTACAGATGAAGAATTTTGCACTATAACGATCAATATTCGACAAAATTTTGTTTTATGTCATCAATTCTAAAATAAGAACCGAATGAAAAAACTGAGCAACACTACCTAAATCTACAGCTCGTTTAGAAATGATTCTGCATTATTGATTTTTATGGGATTCTGAAGACATTAATAACTTCACAAGAGCACCACTTCTTGATGGATAATTCATGAGCACAATTCTATTCAAGTTAATAAACTGTAGATTTATATATTGATACAATGCTTTCTAGTGAGTTGATAGCTACTATTGACATTCTTTCAGATCGATACTGACTTACTGACATAGCTGTATTAGTACGTGACTGTAGTGATCTATAACTTAACTGAGTTGAATGTTTGAGAACAGGAGCATACTGTTTGAATGATTCAAAACATACTTAACTCGATTAGAAAATGACTGGAAAGTTAAAAGATGAAGAAAACAGTACAAGAATAATTTTAGTCCTTAGGTAAATAATTCACGAATAGTATTCATTTACCGGTGGATTAGATAACAATGAATTCAAAGCATAAACTAGATATTTCTCCAGCTAATCAGTTTCACTTGTTTGACTGTAGAATTACTATATTAAACAAAAACAGCTTAGTTCACGTCAACTAAATCAGAATGATACTCACCAAAACCCATAGCATTCTATATAGATACTTAGAAGGTAAGACAAATGTCGTCAGTCAAAGCAACCAGTATGTGTAAGAGACTTAGGCGGATTGTTGTTTACACGAGCAATCGGAATAGGTCGATATGTATCAAGAAACTGAAGGAACCTATATGAGGCACGAAACAGTAAGCGACTGTAGTTACTATTTCCATAGATATGTAGTTCAATACGACGTTAAGTTTGTCATAGGTAGCAAAATCAGAAGTTACATCCAACCAATTGCTGTAGCCGAGAATGTATATCATTAACAAGTGTGCAATCGTTCTTCCGAAATGATCTGGTGTAGCCAAGTAACAATCAATCAAAAAACCTCACCACTGAACAGAGCAAGCATGTTACAATTTGTTGATACATAAATCTTCGATGTCTAGTCAAATCAAAATCCGATGAATTTAGCACTTTGGTTTATTCTTATTAAGTCTGAGATTTTCTGGACATGCGCGACCAGTATAAGCGTTCAGATCGCATCTAATCAACATGTTTAGTTCAAGTTGTTTATTAGACAATAATTTCCGACCTTGAGTGTACCCAAGGCGAGCAAGAAATAAGCCTAAAAGCCAGGTGAGGGTCATTAGTGACCTATAGAACTGACAACTTCCAACCACTTATATTATCTAATCATGTTTACATTTGTGTCAATGGTTTGTGTAGGAGCTCGTTACTTAATTAGAAAAACTATTCTCTCAGGTGAATTTGTCTCTGATATCAGTTCCTTCAAGGCACTACGTTAATCAGCTAGTCTCGTGAGTAGCGACCACTTGAACATCCCGTATAATTGTACTACAATTAACAATCACCATTCTAACTAATCGCTTTAAGTCCTCAAAACCGTGCATTATTCATTGAATTGTAATTTCAAAATACCTTTTACACCGTTTTTTACTTCAAATCCTGTATTGTGTATTTAGTTACTATTCAAAAAACTTCTTGTTGCAGTTGCATATTCTCTTAGAGAAAATAACACTTTCCAGAATTATGGAGGTGTTATTTTACGCATTAAAGTCCATACATGTAAATGAACGGGGTATAGTGCTTGGTAGTTTTGTGAAAATTCCAATTGACCACCTTGAAGTCATCTATGCCTGACAATATTAGATTGAATAGAATTTTGTGTATATCCAGTTCACCAACTCAACACTCCTGTCGTATTAAACTTATAAACGAAGCAGTAATTTGCATCTTTCCACGTCAATTAGTATTGTTGTAATTCCTATGCATACTGCTAACAGATTTAGAGTATCATTTATTCATAAAATGATTAACATCATTTTTTGAAAATTATTTTTCAGTTGTACTGATTGACTTTTAGCTTCGAACGAAATGGAAAAATGCGATACTAAAAAACGCTTATTTTACTCAACGAGCCATATTGATTGAACCAAAAATGACTGTATAATCAAACAAATTATGATTATTCGAGCGCAAGCGTGTTCGGTATATGGTAGTTAACCACCGAAGAGAATAGAAGTTGGTCGTGCATTATCGTGAAGTTAGAAATTAAAACCGTCGGATGACGGCTCAGTTGACTAGAGACAATGTTCTCGAGGGAAACCCAAGGTTTTGAGTTGAACCACCGCGTGATAAGTCGTGGACGTACATTGTGGAAGTACCATAATGGGAATGAAACGGCCGGTTAACGCTTCCGGGTTTCGAATGGTGATCTGACATTGATCGGTTCATAAATTTAATGAAACTCGACAATCCCCACAACCCTATACTGACAAGCTATATTAGCCTGGATGGATATGATATAGCTTCCTAATTCCAATTCTTCTAATATATAAAGCTTATTTGACATGCAAGGAAGAACGGGTGCATACAATATATTATATTGTGGTACTTATTATAAACGTAACTATAAATATAAAAATATTAAGAGCGCATAAGAAGCTACTGGAGAAAGGCTAACAGCTTATCACATGAACAGTATATTCGATATGAATACAACAATATTCATTACTGTATATAACACCAAGATTTACGTAAATGAACTATCATGAAAAATCAGTAATAAGTGAGTACATAAAAACACAAATGATTGAATAAAGATAATGTGGCTTCACATTGAATTGTACGTACATAGATCCGACATAATAAATGAATGCATGAGAAAGCTAATACAAGAAAAACGGAGAAGTAATAAAAATCCTGAAGTGAAACAACTACCTTTAGTGGTAAAAGGTATTTCTATTCAGAGAGAATATAAAGGCATTATGATAAACGCACTGTTTGTGAAAGAGAATACATTATATATCCATACAAGAATAGTGAAAGATAGCTATTGCTGCGAATATTTATTGCTACTTAGTGGTGTATGTTGCCACTATGACATATCATAACATATCGAGAATAGTAAAGAAAAATTTCTACATAGTAATTAAGATAGCAATTTTTGTTTTGGATTTGTTGGAAGTTTCCAATTGAACTTGGTAAGAGTTTAGAAGAGATAATTTAGTACAAAAAAAGAAACGAGAAATGATTTTGAAGACGGCACAGATGTGCCGTAAACGCTTCAGGATAAAATTACAATGGAATTTAGTGACCTGACAAAAATACACATAAAGATTACTCAAATTAGAGTAAGAGAACTAGTTAATAACTTTAACAAAATCATACAATTACAATTATGAAATAGACTAATGTTGAAAACACTGCGTGGACGTATTTTCTCTGTTTGTTGTTGTTCAGTCTTCATCATCGATCATATCTTCATCATCAGTTTCCTCCGCTTTTAGTTTATTTGTACTTCTGTCTGAATCAACATCTAAAAACTTGTAGTCACATGTGGCCATATCAATTGCCCATTGGAATTTTTCCCTTTGAGTTCTGTTAAAAATTTTCTCAATAGGAACGTTATACTTTTTACACCTTTTTAAAAGGAATACAAAATAATTACAACTTGAAAATAGATAGCTAGATAAACTAAAAATCAACACGTGCGGAGCCGATTGTGTAACCGAGAAAATTGAAATGAGAATAATTGGTTGTAATACTACAGTAGAATTTATTTCCTTTACATTTGAAAAATAGGGTGGGTCATTGGTATAAACGACAGGTTATGGGAACAATGATCTGATTTTATTTCCAGAAAAATAAACATCTGATGTTTGCAGGACAAGAGTCTGGAATTTAAAATTTTAGCTTTCCACAATTTCTGAGATTATTTGATACAATTTTTTAAAATGTCAATGCGAACGAGTTGTATTATTAATATTCGTACTAGACAAGCAACATGAGAAGATGACAATGCATATATGAAAAGATTTCGATCCTAGGTTTTTCATTTAACTTAACTGAATTATTAGTGAAGTGTGTATTCTGATGTAACTACACTTGGATAATAGCGTCATAAGTGTCAGTCTGATACATGTATAGAAATAAGTAAAGCTAAACAATTACAAATAACAATGTAGATACGAATTACATAGAATTATGAACTTAAGATCTACAGTTTTACACTACTTTCTAGGGTTAGCTCTAGAAGCCCGTTGTTAACTAAAACACATTTTTCGACTTATTTTATAAATGACATCCACTAGATATATTAATTTTGTGCAACCTTTTTAGGTTGACATACTTCTTTCTTGATTACTGTCTGCTAGATATAGACGGGAATGCTGAAAACACTTAAATGAACTAGAATGATCAGTTTATTTCCGTAAAATCAGTGTTTCTACTATATACTTCAAGCTGTCGAAATTAAGGGGGAATAATCAGTCAGTCAATTAGTTACAAGGTAAAACTTGGCATGTACGTACATCAATTCAAGTTGCCATACCACATTAGTACAGAGACACAATTGTCAATTGAAATTACAGAAAGATAAAGATTAGGATTGGAGGTGTTAGCGGAACATCGATATGATAAAGCATGACTGCGTTAGTTGCGCGCTGATTGGCTAATTCCTATCCCGTCAGATCTGGTCGACACTTGGAGTACATTCCAGAAGCTTCTCATGTACATGCTATTAAGATACTAACGTTGTTCTGATTTCGGCTTCGCTTCGGCTTCTTAATTCCATTTAACCTTGCTATTTGGAATATAATCCTTTCCTGTTCAACTGTGTCCGAATTTGGGGACTTGGCGAGTGTATTGTTGTCAGAGAATACTAAGCAATAGGAACGGCTGGGTTCACTAAGAGAAATTTATAACAGGAGGAGACAAATAATGGATGCATCTGCGCGATTGCAAACGATTTCCAGACATGTCATTCAAAGTCTCTAACTAAACGTTACAACTGTCTCGTGGACCACATTAAGGTAGTCTACACCTACAAACATAACTCAATCCAGTTGTCAGTGACTTCATGGATTTCTGTCATGTTTTGGCTACTGCCAGCTTCCTTCCAGCCTAACTCTACATCACAAAACATCGCTTGTCGAGGTAGTCGGTGGTTGGGGCATACGTAACATTTGTTCCAACCACCGCAACTGATGCAGATCTACTACTTAATCAATTGATCTACCATCCTCACCCAGTACCCTTTTTCTAACACTCGGTGATTTCAGTATATGTGAGCAATGCTTCCGAAACACCAGGAACAATACTTCACAGAGAAACAAGTTAAGTAATCCTAGGCAAGCATTCAGGAATACAATAAATGCTTGAACTTTAGTTTGGGCATTATCAATATATATATGATCCTTTGAATGAATGATAACCTTTTTGACCAGTACAACACATCTTACCAAGCAACTGAAATTCGGGGGTCGAGGTAGTTCAGTTTACTTGTACTGAGAGCGATCTCTTTATTTTCATCTCGATCAGTTGCTTGAAGCTGCAATTTTGATAAGGCTTCTTTAGCAGATGCTAGGCGTTTCTTCAACTTTTCATAAGCGACCTTCTTAGATGCTTGTTTGTGATTTTTGTAATCTGCCTTTATTTGTTTAGCTTCAGTAGTTATTTCCGAAATTTGCTCACGTTTTGCATCGATCTGCAATATAAGATGAGGAATTGTACGGTATTTGAACCTTCAAAATATGAAATCAGTGCAAACACAGATTTAGATGCATATAAATCTTGAAAGAGATCGAAACGAAATATATAGTAAACAAGTTTTTATTCTGCCGATCTTTTAGCACAATGACAACAAAAATAATAAACACTGCAATAGTAAAGCGATGCTTATGTAGTGCCGTCTAACTTTCATTACAAGCTTGCGCATAAATATGGATCGCAAACAATCGGTTCCACTGAAATCTTTATTCAGCTAGTGATCTGAATGTTGAACGTCAAAACCCTTACTAGCTAACAAAACATCGGTACGAAAGCAAACAGAAGACATTTGCTTATTAAGCCCTTAAGCTGCTGTTGGTACCGGGAATAACAGATCCCTTTAAGCATTTGTTGCTAGATAGCTTCTTTAGTTACCTATCACAAACAATTATGCAGTACAAGGCAATACTTCAATAATCTTTAAAAGGTGAGCATTTCACTAGTGCCATACTTTTTTGACCCATAAAAATGTAGAGCAAACTCAGTAAACACAAGAGTAAATTATGATTATTAAGTTTATGAAAATAAGTAACTGGAGTATGTAGTAGATGTTGTCAGTAAATGAGAAACTGAGAACTTTGGTAGCAACACCGCAGGCTGTATCTTATGTAACGCGGGTTGTCTATGAACTAAGTGAGGAGGAATTCACTAGTAAAGACCCTAGAATTACAAGCATCTAAGCAAGACATTAACCGATATATCTGATTTTTGTTAGACGTCTCATATTTGTTGATATTAATTCCAAGGTTTTGATAACCAGTGACTTGGGATTTGTTAGAAGATTGCATCATCAGTCAGAAAGTCAGTTAAAACGTAGAACTTCGTACGTAAGTGAATCAGTCCAGGTTGCCATACCACGTTAGCACAGGGACACAATTGTCAATTCAAATTCCATAATGGTAGGGATAGCAGGAGTAATACTGGTAATGGAGAAGATTAGGATTTGAAGATAATTACATCATACTAGTAAATAAACGTTAGCAAAGTAGAAGGAGAATAAATGAGAAAGAAAATAAACAAAAAGCAGTAACGTATGTTGAGTCAAGCTAAGCTAACATGTATGTGGAGTTTATTGGTAACTTGAACCAACTGCAGTTTGCATACTTCCCTGTTCTGGGTTAGGTTACAGGATACTGCCACAGGGAATGTGTATCTTTTAGAAAGTTTGCATCTGGTATTCGAAATCACAGGGTTATAGATGGGATTTATAAACATGGAGTTAAATTAAATGTCAGTGTCGGAGATTATGTAAAAAACCACAAATCTAAGATTAAGTTCACGCTTTGTTTCATAGACAGGCTAAACAATTATTAAGCGGAAGGGAGCATACCATAAGCATCATTATTAGAGCACGGTAAAGGAAGAGAAATACGAGCAACCTAGGAATATCCCCTACTCTTACTGGCCGTTTTTCACAGCCATAAAGTAGGACGAAGCGAACTGCTGCGCCATAGACTTCTCTGGTACACCATTCAATGACAGACACTGCGATAGAACCTCACGATCAACAGAGTCAAATGTCACCTTAAGGTCCAGGAAGACAATTATTATCAGATGCCGAAATATGTCTGTGTTCTAGAATTTGTCGAAGTGTGAATGTGGTCTATACAGCCACGTCCAGGTGTAACCAGCCTGGATTTCTCGAGTCTCCTCTTCACGAGCTCTAGTTAGGCGTTGAAGTATTATTGAGGCTAACAATTTAGACACTATATTAGTCAAACTGATTCCTGTGAGTGTCACAAGAGGACTTTTATCCATTTTTATAAACTGGGATAATCAGTGATTGAGACCATTCAAATCGGATTACGTTTAGTTCCCGGATTCTAACTAAGATCTCAGTCAATCTAACTGCTAAAACTGGGAGGTTAATATTTGACGATTGAAAGGATAGTAAGAACATGGAATGAGAGGACAAGGTTTTTAGTAATAACAGACTAGTTAGAAAATTTCTAGTTACTTTTGTCGGCTTTGTTTTAAGAGTAATTTGTACGGATCAGTGACCAATACAAGCTTTACATACCTTTTTCTGTAAGTTCTCCATTGATTTTGCAAAAGATTTCGGAACTGAACGCTGATGGTTACAGAGAACAGCAACTGCTCGATTCGCCCGATTATAGGCCAAGAGCTTAGCATGAGGAGGGTCATCAGGATTAGTAAGCCGTTCCAACTGTTCTTCCAGAGTTCGACTTGCATTGTACGTACGAAATACTTTGGCAGTTAAACCATCCATAAGTTCTCGTAAATACTGGTTTAGAACAGTCGTCTAAATGTTTTGTATATAATACTAAAACCTTGAAAGACCTACGTTAAGTCGATCGAATAAATCGTCATTTTCTTTTTTGTTCTTCAGAAATAGTTTGACATTTTTGAATACGCGTTTAGGGACAGAAACAGCATTTTGGTAGCGGATAGAATCTTTACCTAAAAAGTCGAATTCAACAACATAAGGTTGTCCATTCAACTCTTCATGAAGTTTGATGTGTTCGTAACGAAGTGAACAGCAGCCAACAGTATCAGCTTCATCCTCGTCCTTCTCATTGCCAGCACGAAGAGCCAACTACAATTGAAAAAAGTATTGAAATGAAAAGATTGGTAGTTGGACACAGTATCCAAGAGGAGTTTGAACTAAACTGGCAAATACAATTATAAAGCTTATTTCAACTTTACCACTTCAAAAAAGGTACTACATCATACATTTTGGATTTTCGCATTCAAAAATCTAAGCCGCTATTTTACATGCCCTATCAACAATCGCCTGACTAGTGTTACGAGTGTTTACGCAAGTAAACAAGAGAAAAGCGATACGAACTTTTACTTCAAAAACAGGTGCCACCTATATATATATATATATATATATATATATATGCTTTTAGTGAGTGCACAACGTTTACCAATAAGATATCTACTATGTCAAAGGTAAGAACTGCACAAAAAGATGACCAGATTTTTAGTATATAATCAGTAATGAAGTATCATGTTGAAAATTATGCACTCAGATTAGCGTCAAGTCGCCTTAATGGGTGATTATCATATTCCATTAATTATGTTAACAACATTATAGGAAACTCATGCTTTTATAATTTCATGAAAGTAATTTAACAGTTAGGTGATATCTACCTTATCGATAAAATACAGCGCAACAGCTCGCTGGCGTATCCTCATTTCTTTGTGTTTGAAATCAGCTCGGTAGTCTGCTCTAATTTTGTCGATTACTTTGTGTAGGCAACGAGCAGTTTCATATTTTTTCCAATCTTTTTCACCCTAGAAAATAATTGTTAAGCTTGATGTTTAACCAACCTTAAGACGAGAGGATGGATTCAGCATTATATATTTGAAATTGTTTTGAATGTTTTCAGTCCAACATGCTAGCCAAGTAACACTGTTGTCATGTCTCACTTCCTTCCACTTGTGACCTTTTGGAGGAGCAGGAACTTTGGAGTCCTTTGAGCAGTTGATGATGACGTCTTCTGGCATAATGCGCTTTTTTAACATTCCCATTTTAGGGTGGTTTCCGCGGCCTCGAAATAGACCTGGTGGTTCGATACGAAAATTTCCTATTCTTTGCTTATGTCCGTCTAATATACAGTAGCCATATTCATTCTGAATTTGTAAGTTTTCTTCCTTTATCTTCTGTTTTTCCTCCTTGGTACGATTTTTTCTTTCTTCACTCAACTTTAAAAAATATTGATGCATTTCACGGAAGTCGCATTTACTGAGAGATTTAATGGTTCGACGTTCTTCTTCATTCATTGTCTATTCAATGGAATCCGATACGAAATATAAATCACTTACTTTGACCCAGTCGCGGAAGAAGTTATGGTTAAACACTTCTTTTGTAGTATAATCATGATCCAACATACGTGCGTAAAACCCTGCAACTTCTTCTGCATGATCCGATAGTTTGATAGGTTTGGAATCATAGTGAAAACGAACAGAGGTTGGCAAGCGTTCATAAGGAGGAGCGAAAAGTGGACCTTTGTGTTCTAAGAACCTCCACTTGATACCATCATCTTTCTTTTGCTCTTCCCACCACCTCCACACTTCCTCTTCCGGTTTTTCATGCTTCCGGCCTTTGTTAGGAGAACTAAGTGTATTTTCTTTCTTAACCTTTTCATTTGTTGACTTCGAGTGTTCTTTTCGTTGGTCATTGTGACTTTTATTACGGTGCTGCGGTTTTATTAGAATAATGAATGAATTACCTGAGGAGAAACTGGAGGTTCCAGTTTGGGCTTTTTAGACATCTGGGCTAATCTGAGATAAAGTAGATTGATAGTAAATAGGTCTTACTTGGCAGACAGAGGAATATCATCATCATCGTCGCTAGAGGACAACTGCACTCTACTGCGCTTTAACTTTTCAGACAAAGGGATGTCGTCTTCTGCTTCTGCTTTGACAGAAGCATTAGGAGTTCCGTTTCCAACATGAGACACGTTATTCAGGACACCAGTCATCACTATGGAAAATAATTATTAAATATTTACAATGACAAGACAAAATATCATACGGAAGCCACTGCATACATTCATCTAAGAAATGAGTTGGAATAACAACTACGTATACCTACACAAATCTAGACGATTTCTTAAATCTATTGGTTGTCAGGTAATACCTGTCCGAAATAGCACGCTGAATGAAAGTTTAAATGCTCCGATTCTAGTCATTTTGTACAGACCGATGGCACTATCTAACTGTTTGAACTGAAGCAGAATGAGCACTTGTGATCTAATGGATGAATGTCATGTTATGATCATTGAGAAACCACTTACTATTTGTAGGACATGCGCGTTTTTGCTACATATGATACAAATACCCCAGTTAAATAAGTTTGTGCTTAGTTGGAACTGGGAATTCTCACTTTGTATGGGTAACAAGCATTCCTGGTTGCTTATTTCCTCACTTGGTTTAATTTACTAATTCTCGACTTACTCTTGGCTTTGAGAAGTGGGTAGCTAATTTTAATTCCTTTGGATACATTCGGTTATCAAAATTTTAATGTTGAAAGCAGTAAGTTACAGTAGTCGATTATATGAAACATCTCAAGGGAATTCGATCTTTATTAAAACACAAACAGGAAACTGTCACAGTCAAGTGCGGAGTACTTAAATCCGATAACCGGTAGGTTGTGGTGTACACGCCTCAATGTAGGCTTACACAGTTAAAGGAAAACTAAGGCTAATCTTATCAGAACAAGCACAACCTCTTGTTATCAGACTAGTGAAGACACGTATGTGTTTGTATGGCAATTTAGATGAAAACCCAAAAAGATATATTGTAGCTTAAAGACAGATCAGTCAGATGTTCTACGTTGTAAATGACTGACTGAATCAGGTAAGATAACGATTATTGGATTTCGGTGAGATTTACTCATGTAGTATAATGAAAGCATAGTTTTCAGTTCGTGATAAAAGCCGTGAACCAAGTCCCTAACCTTAACTACAAACTCCGAATGCAAACTTTGCTTCTTCACGTTAACTTATAACCCATCTACGAGTCAAGTAGGCGTTTTCTCAGGGTCCATTAGTTATGGTCTTATCAAGATCACGAAACGAAGTCCACAATAACGTAACACAAGTGTAGTGAGCATATAGCTCTCCGGCTACTCGTAAGAGCTGCTCAAACAGACTATAAGTTACCCAACTTAAATACGCCTACTAGCAAATAAAGAGCTTCAGACTTCTTAGAAAAAGCCACGCAAGGCTTCGATAAGGTCAATGCTATAATGACGAGAAAACTTACGAAATGACACTGTTTGCGTTGTAGCAGAGTAGTACTACTAACGCAACCTTAACAACTGCAGTTTACACCTTGAATACTCGAAAACCACATGACCACAAGCTCTCGGAATCAAACTGGTGTTGCTCTGCAAGACGAAGAGTTGGATACTTTGGGGCGTGCCATGACCAATTGAGTACAAGGACAAATCAGTGTTGAATGTGGAGCTGATACCACATGATTAACAGAATGAAATATAACACAGACGAGGAATCTCAGTGAACCAAACGCTATAACAGGGGCTCAATTATTATGATAACGACTTTACAACAAACATTACTAACCACACCGTTCCGAAAACAAGATGACAGGGGAACAGACGTACCCAGTTTGGCGCCAACAGTAAGGTGAACTTTAATTATACGAACAAACGAACTACTACTAAACAAAGTCACAAGTACCAATAGTAAAATAACTAGTGGTGTATCATTTAAAAATTAAAAATTCACTTAGTTTTGCAGTTCCATTTGAAGTAAAAGGTTTCGTAAGTGTTCTGAGAATAGCTGGACTCAATTTCTCGATTGCTTTATATCAAAGTAAACAGATCCGAAGTAAAGATATCTTCATCACTTGTTCAAGGCAAACGGCGTTTTTTTCTGACACTTAAGATCAGATTTTTAGTTGTATCTGTCTTTGTTCCGTGTCTGCTGCCAGGAGCAATTATTGGAAGTTAAATTATTAGCTCTTATATTTAATATGAGAGAATTATACACAAACTGAAGGCAAACTCTTTCTTTATTGAACGTAGTCTCACGTAATTCCAGAATATTGAACCAGGTTCTGTACATTTTCAGTCCTAAATTTTTCTCTGTTGAGTGAAGTAGGTATAGTGCTAACCATTCGCACGAGACTCTTGAATGTTGTTCTAGAACGCCTCTGACTTTGGCCTGTTTTTTCCGAGCATCTGACTTGTTATGTTTCACATAGTGTAATCAATATAGTGACATATGTTTCATGTTTCTTTTTAGGTCATGAAAGAACTGTAAGTTTATTTAAGTAGGTGCTTACGTTCGTAAGGATTTCGTGAATTCAGGCATTGTCTTAATGCTTGACCTAGGGAATGGATTAGTTCCTACGTTTTAAACCCCCATATAGGTTTAAGTCAAAGACAGAAGTATGCATAAAATTCCCCGTTCAGGGTGAATTGTCTTGTCATTTCTAGCATTTTCTAGTGATGTAAGCTAAGACAGCTCCATCCAAAGTAACATTATGTCATAAGGTTATATCGGTACGATTACTCAGAGCATCATACCTATTCAGTAAACCGAAAGACTCAGGTCATCACAAAGTTCGACCACAGAACGGTTCCCAAACTTGAAAAGTAGAGGAGAAGTAGAAGAGAAAATCTACCCATGGTGCTTAAACGTTAACTGCCAGATAGTTCTGATAAACATTTTCATGAAAGCGAACGGATCAGGAATCATTATTTCAGTACAGATTCATCATAAGTTTTTAAAGAAGTTTTAGGTGACGTTTTCTAGATATAATCATATGTTAAAATGAGCACACACTAGGAAACATTTTACTTTTAAGTTGACCATTAATCACGATTACAATTTCAGTCAATCACAGCAGTCAACTCTAACGCCAAGTGTTGTAGCCAGCAACTTTGGTTATTTTTCGTTTATTTGGTGGATAAGTACTGGACATCAGAGTGTATATTCCTCTGAATGTTATATATGAAGCCCAGCTCTTTCATTAGATCCGTACCTAATATCTAATCGACTGTAGGTAGTTCCAATCTGTCAAACGTTATTGATAATGTGTGGCAGATACTATAAACAACTAGGGGACACTGTTAGGTTAGTCACATAGAATGGTCGAAGTAAGCGGTTCGCCAGGATAATAGATACTACTATAATACACAACACTGACTGCTGAGATGTAATAGATGACTGAAACGTACACGATGAAATCTATTGAGTAAATTAAAACTAAATAACCACCAAATTTTAACTTTTTACAACTGCAATTCCACTTCTAACTGAGTACATGGTAGGTGGATTGAACGAATACAATTAGATGTATTTAAACCACGTTCGGTAGTATTACGGAGTCCCTCCACTAACATTCTCTACAAAAGAAACTAACAATTTCAATTTTGTTCCTGGAGTGGAAGCGTGGCTGATTTCTTAGGGAACTAAGTCGTATTATTTTTTATTTGGACCACATCCCCATGTTTGTTAGATGTGATATGAGGATATTATTGATATTATTTTAATTAGCTACACAACGTCCCAGTGTCTTCTTCCCAAATAGTTGAACAGTAATTTAAAGATCGTTACGTCCAAATAACATAATGAACTACACAACACGCAACTTAATTGTATAGGTGTCTGTGAATACAAATGACATAAATCGTCTTATGCAATGTGATTGGTGGTTTTTAATCCACCACATCTGCAGTTTATACTCATAAAGAATTTACAGAGGTAGTTGTGGATGGCATAGTATTAACTCTGAGACTATTTTGAGACTATTTTCGGTCAATCTCAACAAGTCTGTCCTACTTACATCCTCAAACGTTTGCATAACTTTTCTTCTACACGCTCGTTTGCTGTCTTGACGCTACTAGGCTTACAATGCTTATATCTACCACTTAGTGACTAATGCTCTTTTTTCCTCGCCAACCAAAAAGAACTTTCCTACTGCTGATTTCTATACCCTACCAAACTGCTGATAACTTACTTAAGCATCAGTTAGTGGAGGAATTGGAATGGGGAGTAGGTAATAATGGAGAATATATCACTAAAATTAATACACACAGAACCTGTTTTTCTGTGTTCTGGCGATTGATTCACATCAACAAACTATTCAGCTTACCAAACGGAATATAAATCTTGATTTTACACAATGAGTATGGTACTATTGCAATCTCAGGTATCAAATAGTTTGAATACAGAGCACTACATGTTTTTCGAATCTACTGGCCGGATTTTCAGCTGCTGTTCATTACAAAGAGCATCTACAACCTTGCCTACTGCTTTGCTTACCATGGCCTGAATCTAAACACATGCCGGGCGCCAATTGATTGTTAACACCATACTTATTCGGCTGATACTTGTTTTGTCGACCTTCTGAAGCTTTTATGTAATCTGTGTATCTTTTCAACCTCACATAGTGTCACTGATCGCTTTCCAGCTCTGGCCTCTTCCAAAATTTTAGGCGAAACCTTAACTCCATTGGTTTTGGTTCATTGAAATAATTCTTTGTCGCGCAGTAATCACAGTTTATAGATCATTTCGATCAGCTTTAAATTTAAGATAAAAGATAATGAATATTAACCTATCATAGCACACGACAAAATATAATCTTAAAATGAATGAAGAGGAAATGACAACTGTTACAAAGATACCTAATTAGTAACTACTGAAAAAAAACACCGGGATCTTAGTTAACATGAACAGCTTTCAGGATCAAACGAGCACGTCAGTGAAGTTGGAATGACCCTATTGGTTTGTACAGTTCAGAAGGTATTAAGTTATGATATTCTTTGTGCAAAAGACTGTTTCCCTGACTCTACTCGTGCGATGAGGCAGATAGCATTCTGAAACATACCTTTGGGTCCGCTAATATTCTTGCAGTAAACGAATATTTATGGTGATGACTTTTTCAGGCTGATACATTATCTTTAAGAATATGAAATTTATTAAATAACCTTCATAACATCATCATCGAT